GAGAGAGTGGCGGTCCCTAACCTCTGGAGCCAGCCTTTGACCATCGTTCAGGCTTCATCTCAACCGTATTTTTTTTAAATCATTGCCTTGTCCTTTAGGGTTGATTAGATTTTTTTTGTAGCATCTCATTTATCCCGCAGCTAGCAAAACTCTCCTGGCTACGGAGGAAAAAAAAAAGAATCTAATTCCAGTCAGCAGTGACTTCCACCTTAGGTCTGGGAGGCGTTGTTTCCTGCCCCGGAGACGGCAGGGCCGACCGGTGCACATGTGCTGAGGAGATTCAAACCATCCACCGGGTCACCAGATGCCGTCGCATGATGGATCTGTTGCCTCCGTCCAGCTGAGATCTGCCTCAGAGGAGGCAGGAGGCGGAGGATGGAGCCGCGTGGCCTTGGAACAGCTGAGGAGAATGAAAGCTGACGTACATGAATGTGTTAGCAGAGTGCCACCAAACAGTCATGAATCATTCAGTGCGACAGGTGTCTCTGGGTAAGAGGGGCATCTGATTAGCCCCCGAGAACACCAGGCACGGTCGCTCTGCTGTAAAATGAGTCTGGCTGTGAGGAAGGTTGTACCGTTGGCTAGCATCGACACGTGCTGCTCCAGAGCTCATCTGGACACAATAATAACATAATAATGAAATCATGAGTCAAAAAGTTCTAAGATTCTAAGTTTCGTCTTTGTCAAGGGGGTCTAAACCTCTGGCCCGGGGCCTCTTCCGGCCCACAACGCCCCCCATATACGGTCCACAAATAAGTGTAGTGATTTAAAATCGCACTTAGATTTCCTAAAATGGATGAACATATAAAATCAACTCCGTTTTAGGGTTACAGTGGAAACGGCCAATAAAAAATGCCTTTTATTTCCTTTGTAATTATTGAAAAAAGAATGAATGAAATCTATGAATAAATTACTTCAAGTGCAATATTAAATCATTACATTTTATCACTGTCCATCTGTGTAGAGTTTTGAGGGTTGGAAGAGGCCCCAGGCCAGAGGTTTGAAACCCCTCTCCTCCCCTCCCCCTCACAAAGATGAAAAGTCAATTTGTGATTTGTGTGTAAAATCCCCCTCACAAAGTCAATTTGTGATTTGTGTGTAAAAATAGTTTTTTGTGTTTCCCAAACGTTTTTTTCTGAAGACCCATGTTTTAAAAACCATAAACATTCGCGACTCAAGTCAGTAGACGTTATTGCGACTCATGTCAGTAGACATTATTCGTAAACTCCTGGGAAACATGATGCGAGACGACCAAAAAAAAACTCTTGCGAACCACCTGAGGGTCCACGACCCAGTCTTTGGGAAACCTTGATATACAGTCTTCACTTGTACGCTGATTTAAAAACCCTTGTCTGGACTAATTATCACCTGTCGCACGTCTTCACTCCTGTATTAATACAGTCCACCTGGAATTACTCGCATAAATTGTGAACTAAACTCACGGCTGTTGAAGAATCGCACTCCCTGTCGACCTCCCACCAGTCCATCAACACGGGGGCAGCGTTTCACTCTCTGTTGCATCATTTTAATTGTAGGAATGCTAATGCTAGCCGCCGTCCCTGCAGAGCGCTGCCCTTCATTGTTAGCGCTGCAGTAACCTTTATTTAACCAGGGAAGCTTCATTAGAATCACAGATGCTCACAGCCAGGACCCAACACTGACACACACTGATAAAGAATTCACATCATTTATACTCAAGTTCATGAAATAAAATAATTTAAGTGTAGAATAAAACCGAGGCTCAAACCGACAGTTTGTAACCTTCTCTCAGAGCAGTCATAACGAACTGTCGGTGGA